TCATTTAGCTCAATAATCAATGATACAGTATAGAATATAGGGACTAGGTTAATGTAACATTGTAATCTTCATAAATATTATTTATTATCTTTATTATTTCTTAATTATCATCAACTATTAATATAATTAAAGTTACAATATATCAGTGTCATAATCAGACCACAGTTAATAATCAACGATTTATAGAATATAAAAACGGGGTTAATATAACATTGTGATGTATTATAATCAATCTGTATACTGTTTTAACTATACAGTATAGAATATAAAGACAGGGTTAATGTTACATTGTAATGTATTATATAATCAACCCTATAATAATCAATAATCAACGATACAGTATAGAATATTGTAATCTGTATATTGTTTTAACTATACAGTATAGAATATAAGACAGGGTTAATGTTACATTGATGTATTATATAATCAACATTATAATAGTTAATAATCAACGATACAGTATAGAATATTGTAATCTGTACATTGTTTTAACTATACAGTATAGAATATAAGACAAGGTTAATGTTATATTGTAATGTATTATATAATCAACCCTATAATAGTTAATAGTCAACGATACAGTATAGAATATAGGGACTCGGTAAAAGTAACACTTTAATCTGTGTAGAGGGCCTAACATAATCACAATTTTACCATTAATTTCGGTTAATAAAACCATTGAATCCAATATAATAAAGATAGCTTGCCAGGCAAGGTAACATACGCCCACTGGCAGCTGTCAGAAATGATAAAACAGTCTTTAGTCTTTTTCTCATATTAAAGAATATTAATATCAATAACCCAAATACATCAAATTATCGCCTCAATATACATGATCACACCATGTTTCATTAAAATCAATTGAAAACTGTAGTCTCTAATGCGTTCACAAACAAATTTTGAAGCGTTTTTTTCTAAGTCAAGGGCAATAACTCATAGACCGTTCATCGAAATATCATCAAGTTCGAGCTTGTCCAAGATCTCGTCAATATAAATGATCAAACCAAATTTCATTAAAATCAGTTGAAAACTGTATTCTTTATTGTGTTCACAAACAAATTTTGACGCGTTTTTCCTAAGTCAAGGGCAATAACTCAAAAACTGTTCATCAAAAGATCGTCAAATTTGAACTTAACCAAGATCTCATCAATATAAATGATCACACCAAATTTCAATAAAATCAGTTGAAAACTGTAGTCTCTATTGTGTTCACAAGAAATGTTGACGGACCGACGGACCAACGGACAATATTCGTCCACATTTCCATGTGGGCGTATAAAAACAGGGTTAATGTAACATTGTAATGTAATTTTAATCAGACCACAGTTGATAATCAACGATTTATAACATATAGGGACTAGGTTAATGTAACATTGTAATCTTCATAAATATTATTTATTATCTTTATTATTTCTTAATTATCATCAACTATTAATATAACAAAAGTTGCATTTTTTTGTCATCTATATCAAAATAATTTATTGATTATCGCAAAATAATATTAAAATTGGAAAGCAAATTAAGATTTCTAGATAAATCAAATTAAATAAAACAGATCAAACTTGACTTACATGTATATGGTTTCTTGAACGTTGATATTTGTATCGAAATTTCGAAAATAAACCCGTTCTCTGTAAAGCCTGTCGCGATTTAAAACAAAATTAACCCCAGCGATTGATGAAAGATTAACTATTGTATAGATATAATTCGTACGAAAGGGTCTTTTTAACCCCATAAATGTGTGTCAAGAAAACAAGAACTAATACTTGTGAGGGTTTTTTCATTAATCTTCTATAATTCAATTAAAAAAAAAAAAAGGAAAGGTATAACATGATATGATATGGACACAATAAAATTGGTGAATAGTTGGTGACGGCAATTTGATAACCGAACCTTAAGCCACCACAAAAATGCATTGTACAACTGACTCCTTTAGCTAAATTGATCTTTCATTCAAAACTTCCATACACAATATTAGGACTGTAGATAATCACAATCATATTCTACATATTTAAAGTTGACTCATTAAAAGTTACAATAAGTTTTGAAGAATATTTCGGAATAACAATATAAATTATAGGAAACGTATATCAAAAAAGAGCCTATGCGTGTTGCGTCACAGATCTGAAAAATGTATTCCCCTATTCCTACAAACATTAAGCTAATTTTGTAATGGAACATAATATGCAGGCTTTTTGTTTTCTCTTAAATATTTAAAGTTATATGCAATGACCATACAGATGTAGGTAGAAATATTACAACTAATTGAATTAGACAACAAATGTTAGTTTGCATCATACCCAGTGTAGTATGATTTTGGTGCGATATGCCCTTTAAAGTTGACATACAATAATATAATATATGAAATATAATATACTGAACATGTAAAAATGTCGATAAAAGAAATTGAATATATATTTGAGTGAATAGTACTTTATTATAATCTCATTAATATTTATGGACTATTATTATTGTGGACAAAGACGCAATACAGTAAAACATGTTCTTCATATTATTAAAGATTGCTTGCTAGAAAAGGCAATATATGCCCACCACAGCAAATGGAATGTTTAATATAGTTTTAAAAAAAAGCCTTAAATTTTTTATTTTCGATCAAACGGATTTGTCACCAGTTTCATCGAAATTAAATCAAGGGCGATAACTCATTGAAATGTCGCCATCTTGGACCTAGTTCGACATCTTATAAGACCTCAAAAGAACGTAAAGAAAATTCATGGGAAATAACCAAATGGTTAACCTCAATTTCAAACTGAACACAGATGTTATCAATCTGCATAAGCACACCCAAAACGGATGAAAACGTTATTGTACTTATAAGCTTGTTTTGACCAAAAAAGCAGTCACTATGAAAACTTCGAGAGATAGCAAGTACGCGTTCATTCAATCCTGGACGACAGTAATATTAATATATGTCAATACTTTCATGTAGGCATATAAAATAAATCGTTCTTTATTCCATATTTCAAGATAAGAAAATCGTTCCGGCCAACTTAATCGTAGCCATATTATAACTAAACCCAAAATGTAAAGTTAAAAATATGATATCGATTGCCGTGACCGAATAAGGTCACGTTTTAAAGTACAAACCTAGAATGCCTATTCAACCAGGTAAATGACTTTTCTAATATGTTTGTATTTAATAACCCAAGTAACACCACAACATTTCGATCTTATAAAACGACGGTTACTCTACATAACTGATAGTACCAATCTATTATGAATAGATTTTACTGTCAATCTAATCAAAATCAGATTACATTTTCGTTTCTTTTTTTTCTGATATTGTTTTTTAGAACAAAGCGTTTGATTTTTCTCGATAACACTGGCGAATTGTGGGATAACTAAAACCAAAGAGGTTGACAAATTTTTCTACTTAAAATATTGCTTTCCCACAATTTATTCATCATCAAAATCAAGAAAAGGGTTCTACAATCATTCCTTGATTGATTGAGAATAACGTTATTAGAACGTTGAGAATTGGTTAGATTACAGACGAAAAATATCAGAAAAAAGGAAACGAACCATCGTATAAGATAATCCTTTGTATCAGTAAGATGTAGACCAGTAGGACGCAAGCCCCACTCATCTAATAACATAATTAGCATTATATTGGACTATCCGTCGTCATCCTAATGAATGATTTTTAACGCCAATCATGCTACGATACAATACATGGGTCACGATACGACACTTATCTTCTATAACTTTATAACTGTCAGCTAATGTCAATTGAGGACAAAGGCTACGTGCAGCACAATAACAGAATTTCCCATAGACTAGACCAACCCAAAGACGATAAAAATGAATTCACTTTACGTTGAGCTTAAATGCATCACGTATCTAGATAAACAGTTATACTTGCCTTTCTCTTTTAGAAACCTAAACAAATTTTTAGAATGGCGCAAATAAAAGTTGAAAAATTGTATTCGTTAAGTCAGTAGCTGGGAACACGACATGCACTCTATATACAAATTGGTTAATTATAGAATTTTGACATTAAGATAATACATAAGATTGATATTATTATAATATATTGATCCAATGATCGTGTATTTTTGTTTGTTTTATCTATTTAAGCTCATCAAATCGAAACGGTGACAATCAAATTCAATTAACTCTGGCTATTAATTCATCTCGGTAATATCACATGTTAATTATTGATGACTAATGATCACACTAGGGTTTCGTGCGATTTTCCTCTATTCCGTGGTAGGCTACCGTGGGTTCAAATAAAGAAATTATTTCTTTAGCTTATAAATTCCAGAAGACACCGATGACTTGCATAACAACAAAATGGAGTGCAATATAACAGTCCCTCCCCCAAATTCAAACGCCACTACTGAAGCCATTGATCATTGATTCAGTATATAATTATCATATTGTATTAGAGTTTATACTATTCTTGTATTACGGAATGCAGCGAATTGATTGGATTGTACGCCAGCGAATACAGTCAATCAGAGTACACGACACAAGACTGTAAATATTATGGCTTATTGTTTACAGACTTTCTGTTGAGGACTTTGATTGGCTGGATTCACTTGCGTACCATCCATTCAAATTGCTTCATGTACAAACCGTAATACAAGAAAGGTGACTATTGCAGGTAAAAATACGAAGATCGTAATGACTTGACATTGTGAATATGTCGCCTCGGTTGTTTTAGAACATTCCATTAGAAAGACTTTATTCACACAAAAAGATAATAAATTAACAAACAATATAATATAATCTTATAATTGTGTGAATTGAGATGTTTTTAGTAGTGTACATTTGTTGATAAAGCATCCTCATAAGAACAGTATTGAATGAGATCGAGCCATACTTCTTAAATTTTGTTCGAGTTACCCCCCTTTAAAGTTATACATGCAATGAACGAACGGGCAGCTGGAAGAGTAACCTTGGTATTGTGCTGAAAAGCATCAGCATCAGCATCTGCAGCCACGCAGCTGTTGTTCCATAGACAAGGAACTGTATTATCAGTATAAATCCAAGTTACTAACACGAGTTGGATTACCATCAGAAGAATTTAACCACTTCCTTTCGTTGGTTTTCGTATTGTATTCATATACCTTTCCAGAATCTAAAATCATAATAAAATCTTTTATATCATAAATAAATCAAAACCTATATTTGAAAGTAATCCATGTGAAATAGCCACATAGAGTCTATTGATACAACTATTGACCTGGAATGATCGTGCTCACAGACATCGTAGGCTACGGTTTGGGATTGTTTATGATAAAATCATACCTGGATCTATAGCCATACCATCAAAATATCTATTATCTCTAGCAAAGTTTGTACTGTCTTCTACAGCAGGCAATGTAGATGAGGTATTCGGCCTTTTTACATCAGAACTCCAGAAAAAATCTTCATCATACCGTTTGTTAGCCTGCAAGAGATTTTTTAGGAAAATCCACAATGTCTTGGAAAGTTGAAGTGAGGTCTGCATCCGCTCAAATTTTATGACCGTAATTTCCATATTATGTCACATTTCAATATTCGTCCAGAATATCAAAGGAACAAAACAAACAATATAATAATTTTTAATTGATTTTTATAACTAAAGAGCTGGTAGAAATAGTTCAGATTTCCAAACCTTTGATTCCACAGGCATTGGTAAAGATAATACTGCTGCCGGGGCTGGGTGTTTCTTGATATCTTCATCTATATCTGGAACGGCGTCTGAATTGAGAAAGAAAGGTTATTGTGGTTATAGTTTAAAATTAACATTAACAATAGGTTTATAAACGCATTTCACGCAATGCTCATGTCGCCATTTTTATGTTTCTAGATGTCAAATCAAGACAAATTCCAGTTAAAAGAATGTGAGAAAAAGATATTACAAACTCACTCTTTGGTACTGCCATAACTTTAGCAAGATCGTTTTTATGTCCCCTCCGTTCGGTAATAATAGATGTTCTGAAAATTAAATGAAACTGAGAAATTCACTAGCAAAACGATAATTTTACCCAAATTTTGTATAATTTCAGTCACACTGTCATCTTTTCAACATCTTGCCCATACACATCAAAGTGTTGACCCTATTGTGCAAGAGGTTACCACTTTTTATTCTATACCAATTTTAAATTTCCCAACTGGATCTTGCCAACATGATTATTGTAAATAGGTTACTTCAAAGCATTGCGCCTGGGAATGATTTTAGTGGCTTAGATTGTTGAATCGACCGAAAACATGTCAAACTGGTAAGATCATGATTACACATCTGATAGGCCGGTGGTGCGGATGCGTTCTATCTACTACACAGATTGCTGCATATACAATCTTTTGAACTGCACATGGTCCATGATTTCTTGGCTAAAATCTATAAAATGTGCTTTGTGCTAGCGTGAACAGTGTACTGAATATCGTTGAATGCTGAATTATATAATATTGTACAAAGGCAAAAAAAAAAATCAAAATAGCTCACTTTTGTTTTTGTCTGTATCTACGGAAGCATAAAAGGAACAAGAGTATAATAAGCGCTAGAAGAACCAAACAAATGATAACAATAATAGCTATTCCTTCGTCTGTTTCTTCCCATGGTGTGGTTGTTTCTTGATATGGCTTTATAGTCTCAATCGAATAATAGTCCCAGTTGTTACCTATAGTTCACAATAAAATAAATTTATTGGACAATTATCATTATGTTGATTTATTCATTAAGACTCTATTCTCCGACATGACAAATAATGAAGAATTAGTAACGATTTATATAGGGGAGGGGGTAATGCAGTTAATCTTGAGAGTGGTAAAAGAAAGAAAAAGGTTGTGTAACTCATTAGGTCTAAGTGAAACTACTTACCAGTAAGTGCTGCTGACGGTGAACCATCCGGATCTGTGGTGTAAAATGACAACAAATCATCGTAGGTAAGAAATGATTTCGCACTGTTCTTGTTAACTTCTAAATTTGTTGTATTATCCTTGAGGGCATATACATGAACACTCACTGGGCTAGAAAAACAAACCCAAAATATTGGTGAGAACAAATTTCTTTTATCACTGAATATCATAATGTAAATATTTTTAAGAAATCACTGGTAATCAATGCAAAGTTAGGGAAAAGGCCATGTGGATAAAGAACGTAGACCAGGTGAATAGACGGATTATTATTTTACATAAGCATTTCAATATCGCTGTCAATGATTGAAAACATTCTCTTACTTTGTAGACAACAATCGACGTCTGGTTGGTGGAAGCAAGGCAGTTCCCGCTCTTTCCTCAATACACCAAATCTTTATTGAAGAAGTTGGGTACTTTACTAACAGTAGGTTTTTTAACCCGGCGACAAAATCATTTTGTCTTGCTAGAAAATCTGTTCTGCTTATTTTCATGTTGAAAGTTATGACAACATTATTTGGTGTAAATGTATCCACTCTCAATGTTGCTCCCACTGAAGATGTTTGAAGAGGAAGGCCATTATCACGGGCTCGAGCAGTCAGTAAATAGTTAAAATCTGTCGTGGTTGAGGCTTTTAAAGTTAACAATCCTGAAACAACCGAAAAAGTGCAGGTGTTCTCTTTAAGTGTGGATAACAATCTGGCTTTCAATTGCCAATTTAAGATCTGGAATAAACATTCCTCTGAACAGTTTTACTTTTAGAAAATTAAACACCATTTTAAAATGTTTGTTTTAAGTGTGAAGATAGCCAAGACTATAATCTGACTTATTATGGTAAGGAAAATAGACTACTTTCAATTGTTCACTTTGCTCGCAATAACATTGCTTCTTATTCAAAGATTCGTAGAATAATATAATAAAATGCACTACGAAATTGCTTAAGATATTGATAAAATCATTATTACCGATATCACATCTATATTGGCATTGAAAGTATTACACAATATTGCTTGATATTTGGTATCAAAATACCTGTAAACTAATTTAGGCATATAATTTACCTGTCAGTGGGTCGATATTAAAGAGATAATCATAAGAACTTTGAAGAAGGAAGTATACAACTTCGCCATTGTTACCATCATCCCTATCAGTAGCTGTTACTGTCAGGATATTTCGGGTACATTGGCCGGCATAGGAAGCTTCACTGTTGTAAAATACTGGGTTAAATATTGGTTCATTATCGTTCTCGTCCAAAACTGTTATTGTAACAGCAGCTGACGATGTAAGAGCTGGTGTACCTTTATCTACTGCTAATATATTGAAACTAAACGTTGGTGTTAATTCGCGATCTATTAATAATTTGACAGATAAGGTCTGAGTGACAGTGTCTATTATCAGATAAGTATTAGCCAAGGCACCACCTGTTGTCGACGTATCAATAGAAAGAGTGAAATCTTTGTTTACACCCTCATCTTTATCCGTAACTGTGATCCGAAGAATCGAAGTTCCTACATTTGAGTTTTCCAGGGTAGTAACGCTGTAAGACGATGAGTCAAACAATGGAAAGTTATCATTTTTGTCCAGCACAACAATAGTGGCGTTGGTGTATGCTTCTCTCGAGGGATTACCACCATCTTTTACTCGACACCAAACGAAATATGTTGCAGTAACTTCGCGGTCAAGAATGATTTCAGTGGTTATGATACCTGTTATACCATTAATTTTCAAATGTGCTGGATTTCCAGACCAGAAATTAGGCAGAGAATAGAGCAAGTCAGCGTTTACACCAGTGTCTGCATCTGTGGCTACAAGAGTTCCAACTGAAGTATCTACTATCTCATTTTCATGAATGTTAAAGGTATATGGTAAACCAGTAAAGATGGGATCATTGTCATTAATATCTCCAATAGTTAAATCTATGGTGATAAAATCAGAATTACGAACAGCTCCATTATCATCTACTTTAATTTGAAGATTATACACTGTTCTTCTTTCTCTGTCTAGTGAATTCTGTACCTGAAATCAAATGTAGATCAAACAGTTTAGTTGAATTTTTGACAGTTTTTGTTGAAACATCCCAAAAATGTCACATTACAAAAAAAGACATCCAAAGTAACTTGATTTTAATGTAAAGATGAACTTTATAAAAGAATGAAAGAGATCGTGAAAAATAACTAACCTGAACAAATCCACCATCTGAGTCAATTTTGAAATCATTATCGGTATTACCTGCAGCAATAGAAAACGTGAGTTTACCATTTAAGCCACTATCGGCATCAGTCGCTAATACAGTGAACAGTAAGGTTCCTACACTGGTATCTTCAACAACAATTCTATCATAAGTTCCAGTAATGACAGGTGAGTTGTCGTTAATATCATCCACGATAACAGTAACTGTAGCTGTACCAGTCAGTGATGGTGTACCTTGATCTCTTGCTTCTACCACCAATTTATGCCTGAATACGTTAGAAAGTTTTGAAGATGTGGTTAATTCATGGTTCATGAAACACTTAATGCATGGTCCAGTAAAGAAATAGATAAAAATTGAAGGGAATTTTATCTTATGAGAAGTCAATCATAGTCAAATATTTTTGCATTGGCAACAAAAAAAAAAAGTTTTACATCCTTCTTTCCTGCTACTGATCGTTCTATTATAATCAATGGTGCCGAATCTCGTAGGCACAATGACCGCTCAATGTAGGGATTAACATAACACTCTAAATTACTTTGATATGGTTGTTACTTACATTTCAATAGTTTCTCTGTCTAAGGCAGCTTTGTTTGTAATTACCCCTGTGTTTGGATGAACTTCAAAATACAAATTAGTAAGGATGTATGTGAAAACATTATTACTGTTAGCAGCAGAGTCTGCATCATTAGCATTAACTGTTGTTACTGATGTTCCAACAGAAACATTTTCAGCTATATTGACAGTAAAATCTGCCGGTACAAAAACTGGTGTTTTATCATTAATATCATTTACTGCTATTCTTACTAAACATGAAGAAGTCAAGGCTGGAACTCCTCCATCTACTGCTTGGACAACTAAATAATATATCTGTTTCACTTCATAATCTAATGTAACTGATGTAGTTATATCACCACTAGTACTGTCAATATTAAAACTTCCTACACCATCACCCGATACAATAGAATAAGTCACTTGTCCATTTACTCCAGAATCTTTATCTATAGCCTGAACCTGTAAAACGGGACGAGGAGCAGCTTCTTCGTCAACAGCTCCATTGTAAGTATTGGTAGTAAAAATAGGATACTCATCATTTTCATCAGTCACGTTGATGAAAAGCCACATGGTATCAGTAAGACCACCAGTATCTTCAACTTTAAGTGTAAGATTGTAGGTATTTGGTGCCGTATCATAGTCAAGTACAGACCACAAAAACACTCGTCCCGTGTTTGGATTAATGAAATATGTATTGCCTGTCGGGTCTCCACTGGTAATAGAATAGGTAATATCGCTTCCATCACCAACGTCAGTATCCGACGCAGATGCATCAAATATACTGTTACCGACTGGAGTTGTTTCACTTAAAGAAGTTGCAGTGTTTGGAACAGTGAATACTGGCGTGTTATCGTTTGCAGGCAAGACATTTATTGTGACTGTTGCTGTACCAGTAAGTTTTGGTGATCCCCCATCTACCGCCTGAACTACGACAATGTGAGTTGTTGCAGTTTCGAAATCAAGTGGCGTATTAAGAATCAACGCATTTGTAGAGATAGTAAAAAAACCAGATGGATCAGAGAGAATAGAATAAGTAAGTACTGCGTTGGCTCCTGTATCATCGTCATTGGCATTTAGTGTTAATAGATTTGAACTGCTTGGAGCTGTTTCTAATACATATATATTTTGTGAAGTTGGTGTAAAGACAGGGGGGTTGTCGTTTATATCATTTATAGTTATAACAACGGTTGTGTCTGTTGATCTTTCATCACCTGCAGACGGAGTACTGTCAGTGGCTTTAACGTTCAATGTATATGAAGGATATGCTTCTCGATTGAGAGCTTTGATGGCTTGTATTTGTCCTGAGGAAGAGTCTATTTGAAATTCTCCTAGTGGATTACCACCTATGATTGAGTACTTGGAAGTACCGTGAGATGCTCCTTGGTCACTGTCTGTTGCTGTTACAGTTAGAAAGTTGACAAAAAGTGCTTGGTTTTCTGGTATTGATATTGTATATCCCCCGACTGGAAAGACGGGATCGAATTCGTTGACAGGAACAATTTGTACTGTAATCTGAGCTGTAGTTGTTTTCACAGGTCCAGGTACAGCCTGATCTATTATGTTTATTGCCAACGTGTAGCTTGGAACTGTCTCATAGTCTAAAGCTACAACAGAAATTACATCTTAAAAAATTCAACTTGACTAAGAATTGACTTGTTTCAGATGTCTTAAACTCTTAAATTTGTGTATGTATATTATGAAAGATACATTCTAGACACTTTTGGATCTAATTGCACACAAAATTTCGACAATTTAATATAATGGATAAATAATAGAGTAATATAATAATTGTTTTCTGTACCTGTTGCTATAGTTAAAGTTCCACTGCTTGAATCTAATGAAAGAGAACTACCAGTATTCCCAGATGTTATAGAATACGCAAGAACGTCACCATCAGCATCTGTACATGTTAGACTTGTCACCTGATATTGGAAGAATATGATCAATAGTTTATGTGAAATTTGAAATATTAATATAAAACAGTGTATATATATCATTTGTCGGTAGATATCTGGGTGTCTTCCATATACTTTGGTTGATGCCACATTCGGAAATCTAACGGAATATTTTTTTGATAGGGTGTTTACAGATTATTGAATGGAATAGATTGCCGGACCACCATAATTCAAAACTCACCACCATATTGTTTGCCTTAACCTCATTATAAGAATTCAGTAATGGTTATTTTGACGCAGACGTTGTTGTTGCTACTGATGATGATAATGATGATATTTAACAGGTTTTGACTTGATGATTTAAAATCGGTCCGATGTTTCTTACCGGAGAATTAACAGTTGTGTCTTCAGCAACAGAAGCTACAATATTATAAGATACACAAGTTGGTACGTTTTCATTTACGTTAGAAATAGAAACGGTGACGGTAGTTGATGAACTTAAAGCCGGTGTACCACCATCCTTCGCTATAACTTCAAGGAAATAGGTTGGCGTAGTTTCAAAGTCCAATGTCTTCATAGTTTTGACCTGTCCCGTGGTACTATCTACTGTGAATGCTGAATTAGTATTTCCACCTTAAACACAATGAATTGTTATAATCAAATATTATTAGCTATGTGCGCTCATGGAAAAGGATGCCACATTGACACAAAATTGACAAACAGAGGCAGTAAGTATTGCTTTTAAAGTGTATTTCAAATACATTCTCTAATAACTACCTGTTATAAAGTAAGAAAGCACACCATCCGTTCCATAATCATCGTCATTAGCTAATACAGTAGCAACTGTTACACCTGGTACTGTCGATTCACTAACCTAAAATATATCGTTTTGTACACTTACTGGTGTGATCATTTTATTCCAAAACACGTTTCACAAGTGATGAAGTTCGAATTGATCCTAAAACACTTAATCTTACTTTTGGAAATGTATACTTTAGTTTGATGTAGTCCAGTGTATTTCGATTTTCTCTAATTGTTCACCTGGCATTGATTCATCAAAAACAAATATGACCTAGCACCTTCCGAATATACGTTTCAAATATTAAGATTAATCGCAGTAATTTTGGAATGCTAAAGAGATTCAAAAGAAATATTGTTTTTTGCACCCAGTTTTCAAAATAAAGATCAAAGTATATTCTGCTTACCATAACCGTATCACCCGGCAATGTTGTTCCAAATGTCGGTACAAAATCATTTTCGGGTGTAATGGTAATTATGACTGAAGCTGATCCTGTCAGTTCAGGAGCACCCCCATCTTTAGCTGTTATTATCAAACTATAAACAGTAGGATTATTTTTCGGACGATCTATATCAATATCACTTTGCACTTCCAATAAACCATCAGTTGTAGTACTGAAGGTAAAGGAACCAGTAGCATCGCCTGATTGTATGTTATATATCAGTGTACTTGGGGTACTGTCAAGATCAGTTGCTAAAACTTGTATGACACTGTCTCCCACATTAAGATTCTCGGAGATGGTCACAGAGTAACTACTGGATCCAAATTCAGGTGATATATCATTTACATCTGTTATGTCAAAAGTTAGTGTCCTGTCCACAAAGAAGGAGGGGGTACCTCCGTCTTTGGCTCTTACAGTGACATCATAAGATGGTGTTCCACCAGTGGCAACATCTCTATCGATGTTTTTGACAGTTATTAAAGTTCCTGTTGATGTATCTAGTGAAAATACACCTGGTCTAGCTGTACCACCACCTACAGTAAATATTGTATTTGTTAACGTTAATAGTTACTGAATCACATACAGTCATGACAGCTTATTCATAATAATCTTAATCCTGAATGAGAAATGACGAAGGTTTAAACTTAAACGTTTGAAATATTATTTCCAATATCCAAAAGCTAACATATACATATAATACATTTTTTTATTATATATATTTTTATTCAATGCCTCATTACTCGTCTTGTTATCATGTAAAAATGTCGGTTATTAATGAAGGATCTTACCGTCAACAACATAAACCAATTTATATGAGATATCACCGTCAGTTCCAGCATCTGTATCAGTAGCCGCTATTGTTACTACTGTGGTACCCACGGCAGTATCTTCTGATATTACGTATGGTACTCCAACAGTGTATGCCGGTGAAAATGCTGTCCACACAGGAGTACCCTCGTTAATGGAGGTAATCTAGACAACGGAACAGATTTCATTAAAAGTTGGTAAATGTGTCTTTGTTTTCATTTTTACTCGCATCAAATTTTAGATAATTTATAACGAATATTTAAGTTGAAATGAAGGGAGTAATCTGAGCTAAAATCTCATTTCCACGTTTCAAAATTGTAAGTTAACTTACTGTGACAATTACAGATGCTGTCCCTGTCTTCGGTGTTGCCCCGCCATCTACAGCATTCACAATAAGCTGATACTGGAAAGACTGTGTAACAAGCGCTTCATAATCAATAGCCGTTGTTGTTGTTTGTATTTGAAATCCGTTAATTACAAATTTAGGCGAAGCATCATCACCACTCGCAATGCTTAAAACAAAATTCCCATTAGCTCCGGCATCCAAATCAGCACAAGTCAAAGTCTCGATAACAATATCTGTAAGAGAGATACGAATTTTTCTCAGAATAACTATTCAGCTAACAGTATCAAATACAAAAGTAATGATTGGTGACTTGATCCTTACTCATTATTTCACCCCATTTCGTTTAGGATGGCGACCTTTTCTGAACGAGAAGGCCTTCAGGAACCTCTGTACCAAATTTAGTGCTTGTATCGCTAAGGGAAAGATTGTTCCAGATATCTGCTGCAATAATACCCAAAGCAATCTGTAGTATGTAGCAGTTTCCCTTGCCTGAGCAATTATAAAACAGAATAACATAATTCTACTAACAGAATAAAAAAAATAAATAAAAATAAAGCCTACGACATTTACTCATACAAAAGTAACACGTTTGGTCAACTGAGCTGATTAATGGACACGTTGGAGTTAAAGAATTATTGTTGACTTACTAGCCGGTGTATTTTCCGGTGTAGATGTGAAATATGAAGATGGTGTACATATTGGTGTATTGTCATTGATATCTTGTAATGTAACAGATAACCCATTGGAATCAGTGTTACCACCACCATCAGTAACTCTTACTATTAACTGATCATACACTATAATAGCTCCTGCTCCATCACGATCTAACTTCTCAGCAAACCGTATGGAACCATCGCCATTGTCGATTTGAAAAAAAGTGCTATGTGGACCTGGAAGGCAAATATTCTATATGAAGGACTTAACATGTTCGAAGTTTTAAAATAATTTTCTATGGTGTTGGTTTAGATCTAAGTTTGACATTTTTCATAAGACGTCCTGAAATTCAATTTTTGGAGTGGTACCAAACCGCATGACAGAGAATAAATTTCGCTACAGTAAATAGCATAACGTTTTCTATGTATAAAGAAACGTCCGTCTTAGTATTTTATTGTACCCAATTCAATGTAAATTATCATCATGTTTCAGCTTTCTTACTAAATCCACAAGTACAGCAAATATGAATAATTTGGAATTGCTATCGTCTGCACAGAAGGACGTTTTCAACGGTATAATTTTACTTGATTGTTCTGAAAACCTTCTGAAACTCACAACTAGTCTTGTAAGGATATTGTTCAGGTACATGTAATACATTCTGGATCATGAACTCACAATAAATGTTCCTTACCAGTGAGTGTAAAAGACTTGGTATCACCCACGTCTCCATCAGTTACTGTTATATTAAACGGAACCAAAGTTCCAACTGCTTGTTCTTCATCTACCGAAACAGAAAATGTTCCACCCAAAACGGGAGATTCGTCATTAAGATTACCGATGTCAATGGTGACTGTACCAAATGCATCTGGATCATTCCCATCACTGGCGCTAAAATGAAAAGGGCGGGTGGAGAAAAATTTCAGCCTTTGTACATTTAAATATACAATCATTGTTTCTATTGTCAAAGTTGAACGATAATGCCATTTCAGTCACCAATATCATCAATTTTTCGGGGATTTCTGGAAACACAGACGAGGTGTGTGAAACTTGAGTGTGAGTACCCGGTGAACGTACATGTAAGCCAGAAACACTTTTCAAATACTTTTAGGTTTAACTTTTGGTGATTCATCTGAATCAAAACAAAGTTGTTTGTTCGAACTGTTTACCTCACTTCCAGTACATATTGAGTTTTAGCTTCAAAATCTAAAGTAGCTCCAGTTTTAACTCTAATTTCAGCACCAACTAAAACAAAATCTCCCGTGGTTGCACCATCGATGGTGTCGAGAGAGAAAGTAATAGGATCTCCATCACCATCTGTGGCAAGTAAACTAAATACAGTGACTCCCGGGGCTGTTCTTTCATCGACAGCTACTCTAGTACTACCATCTGTAGCTACGTTATCAAATGTGGGTGACACAGCTTAAAAGTGAAAGGAATATATTTGATAAGAAAAATAAATGAATGTATAAAAGTGCATTATGAACTGTTTGGATATGGTTTGAACCTGAATAGTAACTAATGTTTCCTGTGGCAAATCTCAATCCATCACACCCCTTCATGAACGAACAAACAAATACTGACCTTTTACTGTTACTGTGTAAAGTCCTAGTATTATGAAGAAAGCTGCACATTTACTCATGTTCTGTATAAATGTTATTCGTTCTCTGATCAGTTAGTATTGTTTTGGAATGTCTGGAACATTAGAACAATTGAATAGAGTATTATTACATTACATTTAAACTTTATTTCTATCGAATTGTATCTTACACTACTCAATGGTTTATCTGGAATGTGATCTCCGTTTGTCACTTTCATATTGATATATAAGGGGATTATAATACCTACTAGGCTGTTGTTTTAACTGAATATTGATATAATTTATGATCTAGTGATAAGATTTGTCTTTGTTTTGTTACTATCGACTTTGTTGGGGTAGCTACCACTTACTTCGTACAACAACACCTATAGAATTGTAACAGTGTAAACTAACACTCGTGCCAACAGACACGATCAGCAAGAAAAATCTTAGTTTCTCAAAAAAAAATAAAAAATAATGAAAGATTGTTCAGAAAATAAAAAATAAATAATTTTTCTTCCAATTTTCTATCATCTTTTTATTTCTTTTTTTTTCTTTCTTTTTTTTTTTTTTTTTTTTTTTTTGCAAATTCCCTTTTTTGACATTTTATATTAATAAACAAGGTATGTATTTATTTAAATCTTTTAACTATGTTATACAGAGTATGTTTTTATTGTAATGATGTATAAATATTGTAGTGTATTATATTCAGATACTTAACAACATAACATATGTTATCTTGTCATAAATAACCCTATATTAAACTTAATACACTTAGAAATCAGTGATACAACTTATGGATCAATGTAGCAAAACAATTTTTAGCCCACTGTAAATGCAGTGTATGAATTCTGGGCAGGCACCACATTCATTTGCTTACTAATAATACCATTGTAGGTAAACGTACCCCACATTGGAGAAATGAAAAATAGAGAAAAAAAAGAAAAATTAGCGAGATTTGTCTTACCGTCTTCAACGTGTCTTCAATACTATTACACAATGAATAGCAACATTTCAGCATTGAATTTTTTTAAACCTCCAAAAGAAGAAATTCCAAAACAAAGATTAAGATAAGCCTTTTACCTTGATCCCTTTGATATCTAAGATTTTATACATGTATTTAGCAGGTGACTTTCTTTATAAGAATTGCCTTTGACGTACTTATTATCTTCTTTATAAACATGGTAAATGGAAACCACTTCATAAAATCATTATAATATACTTTGAGATATAAAAAAAACTTTTTTGTGCTGAAGAGTTTTAAAGGGATTCAAGGGAACTTTTCTGAGCTTTGTCTTTACGTATATCTACGAAACTTCTTCAGTCCTCTTAGCAACAGAAAAATCTCCACCCGATCATTACTATATTCTTTGGTTTCAATGGTATTAAAAATGCTGATTTATTCCACTGACAATGTTATTTGAAGCAGGAAATGTTTTTCAAAGACAATCATCTCAATATTTGTTTCATTGGTTATTGATGTTACTCCGTTGAAATTTTCGTGTTCCGTAACTTTAATAATATGAGACCCTTTTTTCTTACTCAAATTAGAAACTTTTTAAATGTCGGGTAACCCGACTCTTAAGTATATCAACAGCAGTGGCGGCTTCGGCCTCCCGAAACAGAGGGTACAATATAGGGGGCAGACTGACTAAATGGAGGGTACAACGGTCGAGGTTGAGGCGAGGTTGAGGATCGTCTGAGAGGGTGTCCTCTAAGAAAATTTTCACATTTTCGTGCAAAAACGTAAACGAATCATATTTTTAAATTTGTTAGAAATAAGGTGGGGTACAAATGGGGGTACAAATCATTTTTCTATGAGAGCAAAAGACCTCTGTTAACCATCTGATCAACAGTAAAGTTTTATTCTACATGTACATGATATCTTTAACAGTTGATCAGAATATGAATATTGTTCTATTTCGAGGTTACAGTCTTTATTAAATAAAGTTTTAAGGACTGTCCTTTTCTATTCAGAGTTTTCAATATATCAGTAGAGGATTATTGACAAGCCTTTAAATACAGTGTATTAAGAAGTACTTTATTACTTATTTATTTCTATATTAAAAATATAAATAGGTCTATAATTTCTTATAACTGAATTATTTATTATATCGTTTTCAAGCATAGTTCGCACTGTCCAACTTTTCTTTTATTCAGTTATTATTGTCAGACCTATTTAAACGGTGTAGCCTATTTCCTAGGCAGAAATAATTCGCTTAGCATAGGACCTGTAAATGTCCAGAGTATTTTTTTTAAATCGACTTCAAAATTATTATTTTTGAAAAGTTGCTGTTGGACCGAGATTCGTGATTACAGCAAACATAAACCATAATGTTTTACAATAATATAAACAAAAACAGTAGATCAATGTACTGTAAAATAGTAAAACAAATTAGTCATTCTGATTGGCGAATAGATTTACAGTTAAACATTTCAAATATCATTTCATCATGGTCAACTAAAAATACTTGAATAAATGAAATGGAGGTTTGCGTTCTTTTTTCGTGGAATACATGAATATTGACAATGCCAGTCTGGTTAAAAAAAATATTAAGGTATTATTTTTTTTAAAACAATATTTTATTCATATAAATATCAAAAGGATTGGGAACAGGCTTTCGCCTATATAACCCCCCTCCTAATATAAAATGTTCATATGTACAAAACAATATCGTTAAAATAAGTAACGTATATACAGACATGGCTACATCCATGGTAGATACTAGAAGATATAAAACGGAATAATTCATATTCTAAAAACGTTTTGACAGAAGGAATTCGTAAACTTTTTCGAAAATGTTTATAGATTGGTCAGGGTCATTTTGTACACCATTAAGCAGATTGGTTATGTTTATAAGGCCAGTTGGTAAGATGGTTATAGATCTGTCTCGTGTATCTGAATGTTTCTGGTGGGGAGAAGATCTGATTATGTAAGTTGAAGTCAGTTTGTTCGGGATCTTGTATTGTCATTATTATCAGCTTATGCCGACGTCGTCTTTCCTGCAGTGTAATGGAACCTGTTTTCTTGTAAAGTAAAGCATGGCTAGTTCACTTAACAACGCTGCATATAGTTGTGAGTGCATCTAACTGAAGATTTTCTAATGCAGTTGTTAGTTCGATAGTGCACCTGTCATATAATATCACAATAATCAAAAATGCGGCAGAATGTAAGGGGTATATATAGTTTGGAGAGATTTTCTACTTAAACGGTACTTGAGACCTGAGACAGTTAGTAAGCCTACCAGTTTTCAATAAAATACAATTAATATGACAATTCCAAAAGACAGTTTCTTTGAAAAGTAAGGCCTAAGTGCTTGTTGTGTGCAACACCCTGGATATTTACATTATCTAAATTTAAAGTGGGCAATATTGGAGTACTTTTAGTTAATGGTGCAAGTGTTTCAGTTTTCAGCGGGTTGAAGGTCACCAGCCACGCTTAAGCCCAGTTATTGGTTTCAAGATCATGATTTAGAACTTCAGCGGATGCATTCGGGTCATCAATTTTAAGATAAAGACTAGTGTCGTCAGCAAATAAACGTATATTATTAGATTGTATGTTGTTGACAGTATCGTTGATGTAAATTAGATATAGTAATGGTCCTGGGACAGAACCCTGTGGTATTATCTCATCCATGCAAGGAAAGAACCATGAACCTTGACTGCATGATTCTTGCCTTTGACAATCTTCTATTGTTTTTTTTAAAATGGCTTTTAACCCCTATCATAGGCCTTGAAAGTGCAATCTTCCACATACAGGCAGACATGGTATTCACTTTAGTGGATGATTCCCCTTCCTTGTCTACTGTAAACAAGTGGGTTGTGGAATTCGACAGTGCACAGAGAGACTTGACGTTAACATTACCCGGGTGCATGACATGCTGATGGCTGCTCGATAATTAACCACTCTTCATATTGCAAGAGACGCCAAAGAGTTGGGAATGCAAGATTGGTGCCGAGGCTCATCGGAGCAACACTTCTCAAGCAAAACCAAAATGGATCAAAATCCCACAGATTCTTTTTGTCCAGTGAGTAACTCTTTTAGGGTGGCTACAAAAACGCATTATTGGTCGAGCAACATCGTATGCAAAAGTGTGCACAAACTTGACGGGGACTATGTAAAGAAACAAACAAAAATCATGGACTTAGTTAAGATGTTTGAAAGATAGGCGGCTTTTAACTTTTCAACCATCTCGTACACCTTTATTTTGATGAAAACATCAAGTTCTATTTTTCTTTCAAACTCTATTCTTACCTATAGTGAAACAGGCTAGAAAAAAATAGCCATCAAAATAATTAGATAAAATTCATTTAGTAATACAAAGCACTTTATTAACAATGTATATATACAGAAACAGTTCACAACAAATCTACAATAAACTTCTAGATACAAAGGAAATATTTAATTTTTTCATAATTACAAAGAATTGGGGAGTCATTTTAATAATAATAATAATAATAATAATAAAATCTTTAATGACAAGGGTTAAAGAGAAAATGTCTACCAACTTGACAAAGTAAGTTCAAGGCTCACTTACATAAATACTATAACGGTAATATTAACAGTTACAAGTTACAGCCATTACAAGGATCATAAGTAGTGATATCAGTAATTTGTACAACATGATTATATCCTAACAAAAATGAAACATAAGAATATTAAATAATTGGAATATGTATAAAGAAGGTTTTGAAAGGAAAGAGGAACATAAACAAGATACATATATATACATATAACAGATAATAATAATAATAGAAACACTTGTACTAGTTTAAATGTCACCTTTAAAGGAATTGTAAAAGAGGTTTTCTTAAAATTTCTTGTGTATTAGGGACACTGATAGCATCAATTTGCACAATTCCAATTTTTCAATCATATTGGTGACGTCATTAAACACTTAGTTTAATTTTAATTATTGGAATCACAGATGTCTGATTGGAATTTACAATGGCACAAATTGATGCTATCAGTGTCCCCAATATACATACAAATTTAGAAAACCTCTTTAGAACCCCTTTTAGAATAATACAGTTGTATTATATTACCATTATGAAAAGTATATTTATTTCAAAAAGCTAAAATGATTCTAGAGAGTCAGAATAGTTCAGGCCTTTTAAGATTTTAGGCAATTATACTTTAAAATAGATTATAGCCTTCATTTAAGATATAAAAGTATAAGAACCCACACAGAGATTGATAGTCTACTATATGTTTATAAAAATAACTGGGATTGCACATTATGTTTACAAATAAAACTTGAGATTTTATTTATTATTTTGATTATTACCAAGTGAAGTTAATATTTATAAAGTTGTCAAGGCCTTATCATTAGGCACTTTCGCCTACTTCACGGTACAAAATTGTTAAAATATATAGATCAGGGCTGTTGATATATAGATCTATTAGCCAGTCATGGCTGATTTAAACTTCAAAACATTCCAATATATTTTTAGTGTTCTGGATATAGTATTAATAATCAGTACATCGACATGGTACATATATTTTGGACATCAAAATAGGCTATAACATTAAATGATGCTATGTTCTACACTTTCATGTCTGGCAGGGATTTAATACTTCTACCATGTTTTCTTGATATTTTCTACCTCAAGTAGAAATCTGATAAAAATCAGAATTGACTGACAACGAGGGCTGATTACCAGATGAATTCAAACTACGGTCAAAATGGGTACTATCATAACTTGTAGAGTAGTTGTCATCTTTATCATAACCAGTATGGCAGGGCATGCTTACTGTATCCTCTTCTCCTAAATCATCCACTTGATGTTTATATGAGAACAATATACTGGGCTGAGTTATACTAAAAATAAAGGAAAAGAACCATAATAATATAAGGTTTTTTTCAAATTAAATACAACATTCAAGAAAAAAAACCCAATTTGGTTTAGATTAAAATCATATGTTTCCTGTTCCAAAAAAAAAGATAATACACGAAAAAAAAGCTTTTATAAGAAACAAGAAAACCTACCTGAAAAATTCTCGAAGAAAAGTACCATAAACTAGTGGATCATAGAGGGTAAAATATAAATAAGTCGTTACATCCACAACACTGCAAAATACAATAAACCATGCTTATAACATTATGATATAGGGTAAGTACAGTGAGGCAAAAAAAAAATAAACAACAATCTCCCAATCAACAATATGGTATGTGTGACACATTGTGTACTCTCCACAAGGGATACAAATCTGACAGTCTTAGTTGAAAACTGGCAACTTATTAACCACATTAGTATCTTAAACTTAAAAAAGGTTTCAAACTACAGGTCGAAAAAAAAATTACAGAACAATCTTGTTCACCTTTTCTATATGTAACATCTCACAAAAAAATGACAATTTGAAGGTCCTACATTCATTTAGACTTGACTTACATTCAAATTCTAATCATTACCCAAGAAATATTTCTACTCCACAGTGGCACAGTCTGATCAGAGTGAAGGTGTATACTATATTATGATAATAACATGTTACATACCATCTTCCATTATCAATACTATAATATATGAGAGCACTACCAATAGATTGAGTCAGGTTTAATATAGCTAGAGCCAAACAATATAAATAGAAGGATTTCTTGGCTGAAATAATACATGAATTTCAACTTTAATGTAATATTTCTTAATAAAGTGTTATATCATAGTTGTACTGTCAGTTTGGAAATTGAAAAAATACTGGTAATTCATAGAAAAATATTTGTCTTTGATATTATTCACTCTTTAGATATGATTCCAGATTTAATTCTAAGGGAGACTAATACTCGATCTAAAATACAGTACTTTGTTTGAAGTTTCCAGTTTACTCAGGTCTAATGGAAAAAAAGTTTTTGTATCATTTCATGATCTTTATGTTCCAAAAAATAAAGGAAAAATATATAGCTTACAAGGTAATGCTAGTCTTTTGGTGATACTGGTCCAAGGTAGAATATAGATAATAGAATACACCTGAAATGAAATAATATATTAATAAAATTACCCTTGATCTATACCCAAATTTCATCAATTATTGAAGTTTAAAGGGATACTACGTCTTAGGATGAACATAAAATTTTAATTTTGCTCAAATTTGGCTAAAAACAGTATATATCCATCAGTGAACGTCACCTGGTGTCTTAACTATACATCAAAATCCCTCTATAATCCGATATATCCACAAAATCAAGTAATTAATTATAAAACGCTTAATACATCCATTAAGCGATTTTCAAATCGTGAGTCTAGTAAATTCAGAGTAATTATCAAGGGGAAGTAACTCTCAAGTGGGGTTTCCACTCTTGAATTGACCTGGACATTGTCATATTTTGAAGACGGAATAATAATACCTCGTAGGAGATTAAGCGACTCCGCCAAAAAGCAATTCATATAATTTAGAATGAATACTCCACCACTGACACAATTTTCACCGAATATTAATCATTGGCAAAGTTTGTTTGTATACACCGGAAGATGATTGTTTCCTGTTTTAGCATTGATTACCCAGACTCTTTTTTTCTCAAAATGAACGGATTCATGGCTTGCTCACTTTTTAAAAAATTATTTTATTGTCGATTTTTCAAACTTGATAAAGTGTGGGATGCATACTTTTTTAACCAATGGTCACTATTTAACACAAATATTAGCCACAGGGCGAGTGTATTCTAAGACGTAGTATCACTTTGCTAATCACAACATTCATCAGAATAAAAATCCATTAGAATTAGTTACCAAAATAGTAATGAATAAATATAAAGATAAAGTACTACTAGCAGAAAATAGCTTTTAATCTATATTTCCACAGCTAGTTTTAAACTGTACTTTCCATCCAAACCACAATGAAATGAATACCTTTATTTATAATGATCATAGTGGTACCTATGCATTGCAATATGGTTATTATCAAGAAAAGTAAATCTGCTTACAACAAAAAAGAAAAGAGAGCTTGAGAACCAGAAAATCATTCCACCATGGGCAAAAATATCATAATTATCAGTACCATTGGTGGGTGATTGTATTCGGAATTTAGGATCAGGATGAATAAACTCCAGTGTACCCTGAAACACAAATAATTTCATTAAAACTCCAAAATTTTGTTTTTCATTAATATATCAAGAGTATAAGGTGCATTGTTTATAGCATAGGCTTACAGCAACTTTTGAGTGCATGGTGTTTACAGAATAACTGAATAAAATAAAAGAACACAATCTCAGAGTAAACCCCACCCACATCGGTACAAGATTATACTTGTAACTATGAAAGTAACAAAAAAATCTATGATTCTATTAGGTTATAGAAATAATTACCTGTGTAGAAGAATATGCTAAAGCTATAAATGATGTCACTATCAATACTCTTCTAATACTTGCATGACTTTCAAGATGACCTATAGATATAGAAAAAATACATATATAAACAACACTAAATGCAAAACTCATCAACACATTCAATTTCACTTGAATCATAATTTGAAAATTAATATAAACACTACAAAGATATCTACAGCATACTTTGTATAAAATGTAATAGTTTAATTAGAATGAGATACGTTGCTGCATTAATATTGTCATATGTATTTTGTTGAATATTTACAATCATACCCTTTATCTATCATTGATTGATATTGTAAAACTTACCAAATAATAGTCCAAATGTGACCACAGATAATTCTGTTGCCAAAAGAAAAAATCTCAGCACTAACCATATTACCTAGGAAATAAAAAGAACATTATACTATGTGAATATGCCAAAGAGTAGATTGACATTAGTTATAAGTAAGTAACAATGTTCATTTACATGGAAAGTCAATGTGTGTGCATTACCCAAACTTTAATAGATGCTGATCAATGTGTTTTCATAACATTAACTGATTTCAAACTACTTGAATAGAGGCATATGATACTGATATTTCATCTTCCTCTTATATCTACTGGCACCTACCTTGTCTGCAATATCACCTGCTACCACTGAAGCATTGACTGTCATAGCAACAATACATCTTAATATACTTATAACAGCTACTAGAAATACCTATAATTTAACAGGCAATTGACTAATTGTAACAAAGAAAATGCTTATAGGTGCAGAATAAAAGCCATTCATAGCTTAAAATGTAGTTACTTCAAATCAAACATTGAATACAGCATTTCATAATGATTGACAAGTAAATCTCTTCTCACAATCAAATATATTGCAAAAGTTGAATTATGCAGGGCAATGAAATTTCAAATTATGCTTTAGTTTTTGTTTAGCACTCAGCAAAAAAATATCCACAATTGTAAGCTTATTTTGAATCAAACTGATTTGACAGTACTCACCAAACCATAAAAAGCCTTAAATATTGGACTATTGGAATTCTGTAATTTATTTATTGCAGATCTTAATCTCCACACAAGAAAAATAGCAAACACAGCATTGGGTATTAAAATAATCAGATCCCATACACGAACTCTAGAATTATAGAAGGTAAACTAAATTTTGTCATGAATCTTATCATAAGACTTATTAACATTATGTTCTTTCTTAATGGAAAAAAATGTAATACCGGTATAATCAGAGAGGTTATAAATGTTTGTAGTAAAAGTACTAAAGTAATTGATCTAGTCTGGAGTAAGTTGCAAACTATTATGTACTTATAATTTCTCTATTCCTATATAATTGTTTTAATTTGTTAAGTTTCTTTTCTTGTATTAGCTTATATGAGTAGATTTATGTTGTCTTTCTTACCTGGAATCTGCAATATCATCATATAGTATATATTGGCAGAATGGTTGAGATATAATAACAGAGGGGAAGGTACCATTAGGATCTATATCAGGTGGTGAAGCTGGTGTTGTACTGGTATTACTTCCCAACAGTCGTAATGTATCATCATTGAAATTATTAACTCTACTCATATTTATATTGACGTTAATCTGAGTAAACTGTGATATGAGATGAGCCATTCAGGACCCATAAAGATGTTATTAAATCCTACAAAGGTAAGACTTAAAATTCAGTTTTATTACTATCATTTCCAAATGTTTCAGTTCTTTGCTTATTAGTCATTAGTCATTTTACTTAAGTTTACTGTCTATGTTTCTGAATCACATGTAAACAAATCATTTAGGAAAGATTGGGATTATACTCTTAAATATACAGTGAAGTAACCTAATTTCGTGGAAACCTATTATTTGTGGATTTCCGCAAAGGATTAATAATTGACATGAGCGACCTTGCGTGACCTCCGCATTAGTTTGTTTTAATAAACATGGGTTTTCTCTACAATATCAGCTAGTAGAATGAATCCAGTAGTTGCAAGCAAGGTAAAATGTATTAATGCATACTTTGACAAATACAAAATGGCGGATTTCAGTTATTACCAAACGTCACCATTTTTTATCGGCCGAATTTCCTTATAATCCCACGCGGTAATCGGAATTCCAAGTGTCGTCTGCTAGAATGTAGTCCAACGAATGAAGTCACGTGATCAACTAGCGGATTCCGTGTCAGCAGAAAATTCCTATGGAACACAAAGTGGACCATATTCTTATGTTGTTTCAGTGACTTTTAGCAATAAATCACGCTATGTATCTTATTTTGTCAGTCACTATTTTTTTTTAAATCCTGGTTCTTTGACTAGTTATAATTGATATTACAGATAAATACTAAGAGAAGTTAATTATACCCCTCAGTATCCATACAACTATACAGATAAAACATTGTACACGAAAATAGATGACGCATTCTGCCACCGTTGCCGAGTTGGTTGCTCATGAAATATGGGTCAAAGTGAAGGATTCATAAAGAAAATCGAAATAAACCAATTTTAATTATTTTGTAGAATATCTGAGGAAACATCTAAAACAAAAAAAAAATTCGTTTTTTTAACTTTGACGAAATTCAGTGTTGAATCCTTATATCCACGAAAATAGGTTACACCACTGTATAGCATGTTAGGGACATAAATCTTATAAATTTATAAACAAATATAATATGGCCTATTTCACTTTTTTGGGCCAGTTTGGCCTAAGATCAAATAACAACATTCTGAGCAATTATCACTTGGCTATTAGGCTTATTACTAAAACTTATACCCCTACACTTCAGTCCTTCTGACTGAATGGCCCCTCTCTAAAATCATTATAATTTCATCAATTCCAAGTCAAAGCCAATCTAAGACTATCAGTAGGCCCTATCATTTTGAAGTTGATGTATTAATTCATACAAAAAGAGGTGATGAAATGCGATGGTACTATCACTCTATGCTCTAGGCTGTACTGTAACCGTAAGTGTAGTAAGTCAGATCAGAGTAGATCCAAGTCAAGTGTAAACATTGTGGTCGGACAGTAAGTCTACCAGTCTAGTCTATATAGAAGATCTTAATCTGGCATTGATCAGCCAGTGAACCACGTCCGACTAGAATACTGGCCTTGCCAGAGTTGTGATAATGGAATGTCAAATCAAAACAACAAACTTTCATTATTCTTTCACAATTTTCCATCAATCATTATTTTCTATTTTGTAAACTTCCGGTTGACATCATTTCCTGCTTTGGATTTCTTATTTAGCCCACTCTGTTTTGCTCTATCAGGTGTAGGCAAATTTTCTGTTTAATTTAATTGATTTCAACAGAATTTGCGATATTTTTTTTCATTACTATAATCACTATTATTGTTTCAATCTTGATAAGAATGCTATTTCTTTCATTTGTTAACACAAATGACAATCATTAAGACTAATTCTTTTGAACAAAAAAGACTGGATGACGGCGGATTCACAAATAAACCTAAATCGAAAGTAAATGAAATAATATGAAGCATGGTTCGACAACCAATAAATCACTCGGGGTTGAAACTATGGAAAATCTATCAACAGCCCAGACTTCCTCTCTATTTTGAAACTCTGAGAAGAGCAGTTATCTGGCCCGTTAGTGTAGTAGCAAAAATCTACATGGGTAGGCATGCAGGCATTCATTCATAAAATCTAGGCTAAAAGATAACCAGACTGAACAGTTACACAGTCAATTCTACTCACTACTACTAAAACAAACTTCCCTCTCAGAAATTTCCAGTGAACATTTTTATAGTCATACATTATGACTAGTCCTTCTACTGCCATTATGCCTACAAAAGAGATATTTTAATGCAACCTTGATCTTTTTACAGGTTGTTTGAATAACTTGACAGTGTATAATAACAAAACACTAGAAAATGCTATTTGTTACAGAGAAAACAAACAACCTTTGATAACTGTGTCTAATCATTATTGCTGTTTAGATGAACCTCTTATGTGGAGTAAGTATTGAATTGAATATGTATCTTTGAATGGTAATACGTCATGAACTTCACTATGATTTTTGGCTCTGATGAGTAAATTTGCCTTATTAATGACATCAGTCGTTATTATTGACTTCATTTCTGATAATTGACTTCTCCACTGATTATTGAATTCACATCTGAGTATTGACTTCATTTCTGATAATTGACTTCATTTCTGACAATTGACTTCACCACTGATTATTGAATTCACATCTGATTATTGACTTTATCCCATGAAATATGATAGGTATCTTTTGTGAATTACACAATTTTACTCTATATTGAATGTTATTTGTAGCTCATGTGAAATGGAAGTATATAACCAATCCTGAGAAGACAAGATGGGATATTGGTGCTCATGATGTAGTTTTTACCAATTATCTTTATTCATTCTTTGGTAATTTAAGTAAAGTCATACCAGTTGAAAGAGGAAAGGGAGTGTATCAAGATACTGTAGATTTTTTGATTCAACGGTTAAATTTAGGAGATTGGGTTCATATTTTTCCTGAAGGTAGGTTTCAAGAGTGGATAACCTTGGAATTTTCAAAACTAAGCAGTTTGATTAAAATGCATATTGCTTTGTTACATTTTTTTGTGGGCTACCTACACATTGTGTGTAGAAAAAAAATGAAGTAAACTTGATCTGCATATTAATGAGATTGAAATTATGGTATTTAATTTTAAGAATATACACCTATCCTTGAACCAAAACGAAAAATGGCATATACTAGCTTTGAAACTGTATAACTATATAGTACCTGGTATGGCTATAATAGTTTTTACTTGGTAACAGCTTATTCAAACTTATCAGTAATTATGTGCCCTGTAGAGCAATGAGTTTTGAAAGTGTTAAGTATAAAGATTCTTTTTTTATATAAAATAAAACCAGTTAGATGTATTGATAATGGAACTTGACATTTTTTTATCCTTAAAAGTATTACCAATATAGACCACTACTGGGTTTGTTATTCTTTAGCATCACTGAAAATCCAAAGTTTGCTTGTAACAACGATTATACATTGTTCTATCAAATATATTTTGTTTGTCACATTTTCAATTCAGGTAAAATTAATCTGAATAAAGAAAGAATAAGATTGAAATGGGGTAAGAATTTAGACTGGTCTGTTTTACCTATTTAATAAAAGGTGTAGTGAGCTACAATTGCATGAATTGAGTTTGATCAAAGTGTAGATTGCGTCAATTTCATTGTTATGTTACAAAATTGACCTTTCATGGACTTGAATTTATTTTGAAATGTAGATGTATCTTATATTGAAGGTGTTGGTAGAATGATATTTGAATGTACAGCCAGTCCAATAGTTTTACCAATATGGCATTGTGGTGAGTAATTTGAACAGTATGTTATTGTAAAAACTTATGAACTAAAGAAATCTTTCTGTATTTTATAGTAAAAACAGTAGATAGACAGGATCACTTCTGTCAATGCTAAAAGCACAAAAATTACTTAATTTGTAATTACTGAAGTTTTGTCACATGTATAATTATGAAATATATATACATACTATAACATAATAACCATATATTCATGGAATGAAATGAAATGAATGGAGTTTTACGTCCTACTATTCTGCACCATGTGGGCTTATGAAGACAGTATATTTTTTGTTGCTCCTCTCTTTTATTGATATTTATATATATATATATATATATATATATATGTATTTATTCACTTACAGGAATGGATGATATATTACCAAATACAAGACCTTACATTCCACAGTTATTTAAAGTAAGTATCAAGTCATGTTGCCATTTACACAAACATAAAGAAATTGAGTTGACATATAAATTATGTCAAAAATATTTATTTTAACTTTATTTGGTTTTGTGTTAATTATCATTTATTTTAAAGGGATTGTAAAGATGTTTTCTACCTTTTTTATATGTATCAATTTTTTTGCCCCTCCTATTTAGTTGGTATTTTTTATTAAATTTGTATATATTTATCTGTTAAATTACAGAAAGTGACCTATTTAGTTGGTATTTTTTATTAAATTTGTATATATTTATGTGTTAAATTACAGAAAGTGACCTATTTAGTTGGTATTTTTTATTAAATTTGTATATATTTATCTGTTAAATTACAGAAAGTGACCTATTTAGTTGGTATTTTTTATTAAATTTGTATATATTTATCTGTTAAATTACAGAAGGTGACCTATTTAGTTGGTGCTCCAATGGATTTTACAGAAGATGTTGTTAAATTAAAGTCACTTAATAAATCACCTGTAAGTTTTGTTTTTCTTATCACATAAAGGACACTTTTATATTTTAACACAGAATATCGTAAAACCAATATGTTTTCAATGATTATTTCCATTTGTCAGTGGTTCAAATAGTTTAATTGAAACAGATGAAAGTAGTTGTCAAATGTACTTGTAAATAATGAATATTTTGATAACTTCATTGTTTTATATCACCAACTTGCATGAAGATATATATAACTATTTTCAATCCTGTTTCATACCAGTATGGTGGAAATAAAGTCAAACTTGTTCCTTGATGCACCAGACCCAATAGGAGAAGTTTGATCACATTATCATATGATTAGGCCTACAGACATATATACTTGTCAAAATATATCAAAATGGATGTGTTAAAATATGTAACGTATAAGTAGTTTTAATTGTACATGAAATTATAATTAGGACTGCTGACTGTTTTGTTTTGGGCTATGGCCATTACTCTGATTTGAGTTGATGACTTTAAATTCAGTTTCTGTCTAATAGCAGGAAGTGTTGATGAGGATTTTATATTTTATGTTTCAGAGAGAAATAAGGAAACATATAACTGATAAGATACAAGAAGTGTTATTTGCTTTACGTGAGCAAGCTGAAGCCTTACATGGAAGATAAATTTCCTCTCGGAAACAGTTCTGAATCTGATATTGCCATAAACTCAGGGTTTTTTGTACTGGTGCTGCAGAAAAATTCTTTTGAATAAATATTTTTGATAAAATTTGCATGTGTGGTGAGAGATATTAGAAATGCTGGGAAGGTTGATGGTTATATAGTATTAGTTATTACTGCAATATATTGGACTTGCATTAAATTTTTTTTTTATTCACTATGGTTTTTTATCAGTGCCATTCAGTTTTGTGAGCACTTCTGAAGACCTCTAATTCATTATTATTTGAAATGATTCTTTTGACTATAGAATTGCTTAAAATTTATTCAAGACTCCTAAATTTGACAAGGAAGGAAATTGGGATAAAATCAAGCCCCTCACATTGGAGGAAGTTTGGAACTGCGATAAATGCAACAATGAAAAACACTGGTCAACAAAAATATCAGATCAAATAATTAATTATTGAAAGAGATTTTAAAGGCACACAATGGGAAGAGTAGGCCCAGGTTGATTTATTTTATGAAAAGTGAACTCTTTATATTTACATTAAAGCAAAGGCCTATTCTGATCACAGTTGACACTTTTATGTCATGCATATTGACAGGTTAAGGTATAAAATTATACAGTTTATGATCTGCAGAAGAGCCTCCAAAGCTTGTGGTCAAAGGGGAATAATTGAAATCAAGTGTAGTCTGTAGTAAAATTGTTCGATCGTCCAGAAATTTTCTGTGGACTGTTTTTTGTAACTTTGACCATGAGCTTTCAGACTGTAAGGATCACTTAACAGTTAGACACCGTTTGAGTTAATCTGCGGTTCTAACTTCCTTCATAGTTCTTAGATTTTACAGAAACATGCTGATACATTTTGAAGCCAAACATTTCGTTGTTGAGATTGGCTGATCAAGGCTACCATTTAATTTTAAGAAAACGAAAGTCGACCTTTTCTCCGAGACGAACAAATATGATGAACTGTATAAACCACCAAGGACTTAAACTTTGGACACTTTATAGGCGTCCAAAACTTACATTTCTCTTTGAAACTGGAAGGAAAATGATAATTTGGCCTGTTGCCATTTTAGGCAAATTTTGGCTAGGTGAGAAAGTGTGTCACGGGGTCAAATTGTTACATAAGCATATTAAGCAAAGTTCATGAACTCATGACATGATCCATGATCATCTTGATGGGTCTGTAATCTATAGTGAATGGTAATAATGAAATATTGAGTGTTGAACAGGCAGATCACTTGGGTAGATGATTTAAAATGGTTGTAGTACGTAAAAATGCAAATCAGACATAAACATAAATATTAGGAATAGGATGAGATAAAGCTATCTCTTTGTTTTCTACATTTCTCATTGGACCATTGGTGTATAGCCTAATTTTATGGATAATTTATTCCTAATGAAATATGAATTTTAGTTGTTTGATTTTTTGTTTTTTTTGTTTAGTTTTCTGAGATAGGAAAGGCTTTTAGATATTGAAGCAGATGAATTTTATATTATGATAACACAAAGGCATAGATTCTGCTTTTCAAATATATAAGCTCAGATTAGATATAAAAGTAGCCTAGACGGTTTTTATTTTACGGATAATAGTATTGATTTTAAATCTTGCTCTACATAGTTAGCACTTGCAAATTTGTGTTTATACTGCACTAGGCTTATACCGACTTACTATATAATTCTATTCAGGGTTGAAACAATACATTTTGTTCCTAGTTAGCCTATAGGCATGATAGGAACACTTCATAAAAGGAGATAATCTAGGTTAGACTCATAGACTGATATCCATAGGCATAGGTGTACAGATTCTAACACACTCATAATACTTGTATCAAGATCATGAAAAGAAATGAATGAAACCTGGACCCAACTGTAAACTTCCACTACAGAGGAAGTGTACCTCTCTTGTGATCCATCATGTATCCTAACACAATTACAATGTATAAAAGATTGACAAAAAGAGATAAAATACCAACATTTGATAAGAACTGTTCTATTTGGTGGAGAGGTTCATATCGTATAGCAGCATTTGGTATAAGGATAGTTGGCAAGTTCTTTATGGGTAGGAAAATAATTTGTAATCTTACCTGGAAGAAATTGTATTAAATCTTTGAATCTGGTATAATCTTTTAAATAAGCTACTTGATTTATTATATTTTGATCTGAAAGGAGAGCAAGATACAGTTCTTGTTACATGTTTCAGAGAAAGACAAAAATTTCTATTACCCCTACACCATCTTCAAAATTACAACTTGTCAAACTGTTACAAACATCATCTTATAGCTTGACTGCTATAGCCATCTTTCTTGTATCAAGAAATACAGTGATTTGATTGGATTGTACAGTCGAGTAACCTAATTTCGTGGAAACCTATTATTCGTGGATTTCCGGAAAGGATTAATAATTTACATGAGCGACCTTGCGCGTCCTCCGCATTAGTTTGTTTTGATAAACATGGGTTTTCTCTACAATATCAGCTAGTAGAGTGAATCCAGTAGTTTCAAGCAAGGTAAAATGTATTAATGTATACTTTGACAAATACAAAAAGGGGAGGGGAAGCTTTCACAAAAGGGGGGAGAGATGTTCTCTAATGTTTCTGCAATGAAACTTGTTAAATTGATTGGATATAATTAAAAAATGTTAAGAAACTTTGAGTAAAAAAAACTTAGCCTATCTGTTCAAGACAGATTTGGTTATAAAATGGAAGACTAGTTCCATTATCGTATACCAGTGGTCCGTGGGTGGAGCCAAAACATTCTGTATGGTGAGTGGTATGCCATTGGTTTCCAGGTACTCTAGTAGTGGCTTACGAGCGGGTTTCAGTTCAGTGCATTGAATGAGGACATGCGACCTTGTGGCAACGTGGCCGTGTAACAGTAGATACAAGGGGGTACCATTTTCTTATGTGTAAGGCTTAGTAGTGAGGAAAGTTGTTGAAGGGAGGTAACTCTGTTTAGTAAAAGTTACTAGTGCCTGTGTTTCAAAAGGTGACTAATGCCTGTGTGCAAGGGCAAGTCACTTTTATGACAGGAAGTTCTCTTCCATGTGCTCCTCAATGTTGATAAAGCCTATGAAATACCTAATTTTTGTTTCTCTCCTCCCACAGGTATTATTTTGCTATAAAAGGCCAATTATGTTGTTGTCAATCTATAAGACATGGGTTTACTACACTATGTCAGTGTTTTAGGCCTTTGCCTCTGAAAATCTTGTATTTTCTATTAGTATCACACATGTTGGATGGCCCGGTGCGGTAGGCCACTCCACGTGGTAATGGGCAACCCTTATTCATTGCGCCTTTGCATTGTTCCCACAAGTTGATGTTCGTAAGACATGTTGTATATTAGTTTGTAGACTCTTATGACAGGAAGTTCTCTTCCATGTGCTCCTCAATGTTGATAAAGCCTATGAAATACCTAAGTTTTGTTTCTCTCCTCCCACAGATGATCCTGTAGAAGGTAGTACGACATTGTTTGTCTGTTGTTAACAGAGCTGTAGAAAGGGGTGTTGGTTCCAGTTGCACCATGTTATAGTGCCAGTATATGAACCCTTTCCTTGTGCTCTCCAGAAGTGTCTACCAGGCTTAGTTGTGCTGCATCGTATAATCCTGAGGTCCACCGTTGTACCGTCTTGAAAGCTGAACTTTAGGCTTAACTGAGTTACCCAGTGTTGTCATTATTTCTCATTCTCTGTGTGTCAGTCATCGCGTTGGCTAATCTGGTTGTTTTACTACTCACACTTCTCTGTTTTCACCTTCCGGGTGCAGAGAGGTGTAACATTTGGGGGCTTGTCCGGGATCCAGATATTTTCCCAAACGCAATGGCTGATAGTATTGAAGAGAAACCTCACCTGTTTCAAATGCCTTTCGACACTATGGTACAGACATTGACGTTGTTAAAAATTGACATTGATAAAAGTGTTAAGACTCGTAGTCAGGCTATCAAGGCTTTTGATGTTGTCTGGTCAAATTCTGATGAATTAGAGGAAAATTTGCTCCGATTGACTAAAATATTTACTGACATTGATAGTGAAACCAGTACTAAAACTGACACCAGTACTAAAACTGACAATAAACCTATTTTGTCCGATCCAGTGAATTCTTATATTGACATTGGCAAGAAACCTAATATAGAAATATGGAAACGCGAGTTGAAAATACAAGGACAAATAAAATCTCTGTCTTTTCTCAGTTTGTCTCGACAAATCGATGTCGCCGCTCAAAAAAACTACTCTGAAGATGAAATTGTTGAGGCTGTGATTAAAGCTACCACACCTGGTTGTACCCTTCGTAATTATTTGGAAGGCCGTTCTAATTTGACACTTTCTGAACTCAAATCTATTCTTTGTGCTCAATACAATGAAAAATCAGGAACTGAACTTTTCAATACTTTGAGTAATGCTACACAAAATGACGGTGAGACAGCAATCGACTTCCTCATGCGATGTATGGATTTGCGTCAGAAGGTACTGTTTGCATCAACACAACAGGGTAGTGTTCCATATGAACCAGTTCTGGTGAACTCAATGTTCAAGAGGACTGTCTTAACTGGGTTTCGAAATGATACGATATGAATGGAAATGAAAAACTCTCTAGACCGGGAGAATATTCCTGATGATGTCTTGATACGTGAATTAACATTTGTTGAACAGAAAGTAAATGAACGAGAAACTAAGCTCCAGACAGCAAAGAAGGTTAAAGTTAAATCACAAAGAACAGAAGAATGTGCTCTTTCATTTGAATTAAAAACTCTAAAAGCTGAAGTAGCTGCATTAACTGAGGCTTTAAATAATCCAAAAGGGTTTAGGAAGAGGCAAATGGGCTGTGCATCTTGTCTCGACTCTGGCAAGGGTCATCTATGTCGACACTGTTGGACATGTGGCAGTTCAGAACATAGACGCAACTTTCATAAGAAACAGTCGGAAAACTGAACAGGGTCACTGGACAGGGGGGCCATGTGAAACCCATTGTAAATTCCCCTGATTTGTCCCCTCAAACTCAGCAACTAATACTTAATAGAATAACTGAACTACAGAATCCATATGTTAGTAGTACAGTTGATGAGTTGAAGGGTCAGGTCCTTAGTTTAACTCCAAAAGTAAGGCATAAATTAGTTAATTTAATTGGTGATGTTTGCCATGTTGATTGTTTGTTAAATGACATTTCAGTAAGAGTGTTATGGGATACTGGTTCACAAGTGTGCTTAATGAGTAAGAGCTTTTTAGCCAAACATTTGCCTACGGTTAGCAAAAGTATTCGCCCTGTAACGGAATTGTTAAATTCTGGTGATAAGTTTAGACTTTTAGCTGCCAATGGGTCAAATATCCCTTTTGAAGGGTGGGTAGCATTAAAACTAGAGCTGAATAAAAACACACTTACTGTTCCTTTTTTAATAACTGAAGGTGAAGTTGAAGATGAGCCTATTGATTGTCCCATATTAGGGTTTAATGTTATTAAGTATTGTTGTGAAAATTTTAATGAACCATTATCCAATGCCTTACCTCATTTAAATGTCAAAACCGTTAGTAATGTTGTTAAATTGTTGAAATCTGATTATGCCATTTGTAATGTAAATAGTGGTCATCGAAATGTTATCATTCCAGGTAAAAGCTCTAAATTGATAAATGTTCCAATCAGAACTGGGGTAAATAATGAAAAGTCATCACTCACGTGTTTGTTTATACCAGACATGCTTTACTCCTCTCAGCAAGAGTTAGAAATTCCTGAACTTCTGTTGACAGTAGGGAAGCAAAAACATGTTAATCTGCTGGTTAAAAATCTGTCGTGTTCGGACATTGTCTTGCGTAAGAAGACAAATATTGGCTCTTTACAAACAATTTGCTCATGCATCGAATCTCACTCACCATTAGATGGTAAAGATTTACATAAAGATACCCACATTCTGGATGATGATATTAGGGAATCATCTGTAGACCTTAGCAACTTAAATGGTAAGGAACAATCCA